ATAACGAGATGTATTTTTCGAGCAAAGTTGTCCGTGCATCATCTGGAACATTTTGTCATCATGACTTGACCAGTAAGAACTGGCGTGCACTTTGTCCCTGTTCAAATCTTGTTGCGGCTTTGTTACCTTGCAGTTTATTTGATTGCCCAAAAAGCTGTTGTTTTGTTTTGAAGGTCTGATTTCTCGTTTGTCAAGTGGATCAAGTATCCATTAAAAACTCATCACTCAATCTGCAGACCACATACAATCTTTATTATTGTTGAAGGCCAAAGATTCAAAACACTGAGATATCCATCGAGGAAAAATTCTGTCTGCTTACTTCAGTTCACCACCATTAAATGGTAGCAGATGTTATCTGTCACATGAATGGAGCTTGCGACAAAAATCAGTTCTTGTATAGCTAAGACATTCGACTGATTCGCTTAAAATATTTGGATTGTTTTCTGTTTGATTTCAACCAGATGAACCACAGTTGCACTGCGTATGCTCTTTGTCTAAACGTTTTGAAGCCAGCTGAGATACTGCTATCAAACTTGTTCTGTCAAGCGCCGCACTATAAGAGAATAAGAAAGTATATATTGGTCCGGAACATCAGGCTTTTATTTTTTTAAGCTTGACCATAATTTTTTGGAACCTGGGTTCCTTGGTCGTCAGGTGGGAATACCTGCTGTAGTAAACACGCCGCATCTGTTCAACTGTAAAGTTTTCCTGAAAAAGCGCCATATGAAAATGAATTTCCCGTCTATATTTTATATCAGTGACTGTTTTGGTCCACGGATTATGTTTTCTAGTTAATTTGATTAGGCGCCGGTCTCGTTTGAGCATGTTGATCTTAAACCTTAGTTCATTTTCTATACTGCCACAGAACTAAATTATCCTGGGTCTTACCAACAGATTAAAAGAACTAAGTTGCACTTCTGCTGTAAGGACACAAAACTCTTAATACCTTTACAGTCTGTATTTGGTTTTGATATACTGACATTTTAATGATGCATTCTACTATCTAGTTAGTTGTAAGTCAAGGAAGTGAAGTTTGTTTTCATCTCCAGCCTTGCACGTAAAACTGATTGTTTAATGGACCCTGCTGAATTGACGCTGTATTTGGAGATTGTCACTAACTGCTCCATCAAGAAAAAGGTATCATCAGCATGGGGTAAGAAAAAGCTACGGCCCTGACTGGCTCACAAATTTAATGACACTTTATGAGGAAAACTACCCACAAGGTTACTGAAAACTCTTCGACAGCCCACGGCCGGTTTTGCCCCTCATTGGGCTCAAGTAGGCGCATTTTGCGAGTTTCTACGTGAACCCTAATTGGACTGTTTTCGAGAAATACACTCAGTTGCAAATCAATTTGGTTTTCACGAGAGACTCAAATGAATCTCTCGTTTATGACATTCTACAACTAAATGTGCTGCACACAGGCCGTCTCATGATCCAGTTGGCACAATATTTGAGATATCGCTGTATATTTTCATTAAGGAAATTACTCAAGTTTTCATTTGATGAAACGTCGTTTCCTACATAGATACGTTAGTGAGCAGAGAAACTAGCTCATTGCCAGCTCACCAACCTGGCGACATACTCCTCCAGTGAATTTGCAATGTACCTTAAAAGTACAACGCTATAGGCGTACTTTTATAAGCGCGACAAGCAGCCAGTTGTGAACCAAACCTCTCAATATAGTCATGCAGTTAATCAACTCATTCTGGAAGCAGAACGTTTGTAAGAACAAAATAAACATTTGAAAAATACAAATGACGGTTCTAAACATTTAGGCCCAGAATTTAGTCTAGAAAATTCAAAAGTTGCTCCTGAGAGTAAACAGATAAAGCCGATGATGACTTGGTTCAAATGTGTAGGGCAGGAACTAAGCTGTTTCGTGGTATGTTGAGTCGCATATTTATATGAAAGAGTAAAGAGGGCGGTCATATTTGTGTATTTTGTGAATTCCGTACATTGTTGAAATTGACTGCGTTATCCTACCAAGGATTCTCAAATCAAACCTCTGTAGCCAACCGCTATCTGCTGCACTAACGACGGAATAGTTAAGATACCAGGGAGAAAATTTTAATAACTTTAGTATGGTACGTCAAGTTAGATAGTTTGTGGACATAACTCCTGTGATTCTTGGAAGAAAACGTTTCACGTGTCCGTAGGCAAACTTTTAACTAGTGTAGAATCTTTCTTTACTCATCGTTTGGGTGCAACAGCACCCTCCATGCTTTAAAATCCCTGACGCTGACGAGTAGCTAGATTGCCCAGGACTCTGAAGCGCCGTGTAAGTATTTCTGCCGGCTTCGCAATCTAGGCTACGTTGCCTAATTTCTCAAGCTGGTTTGGTGCACGTGGATATGTTTGGCGTGACCTGCGGACCGTGTGGGCTAGTATTACGCTGCCTACATCATGCTCTCCGGGACTGTTTTTTCCTCTTCCCATCCGTCTAGCATTACATACTATTAAATAAATCACACTGCTGGCTTTAAAATCAAAATCATTATTTTGTCTCCGACCTTATAATTCTGAGCTTAAATCTTTGTAGCTCACTAAGATGGGCAAATTTGTTGCAAACGTCTAATTACTAATGAAAAAGATAACGTCAGTGCGTTTTTAGTGATGCGTAGCACAGGGAAAAATGGGTTGTCAATCAGACACCCAAAAATACTGGTGTTTATGAAAGACGGATTAAACTAACGATGTTTCAATTTTTGACAGGAGTCTTCATAAATCCTTTACAAACAACACAACGAGAGGAACTTTACCGCTGTAAAATGTACTAAAAGTACTCATATATTGATCGGGTTCTGTGAGTTATCCGATCCTACCTTTCCGATGCATTCTGGACCCGCATGTCCGTTGACGTTTGGGCAACCTTCTTTAAACCGGGTATTAATTTCAAATTACCTTATTACCAAACAGAGTAATGTTCTGATTTAGATCAGTGATGACCGTCATGAAAATGTCCTAATAATGCTCCTAAATTGATATCAACGCAAACACGCGAACGCTTACCATGATTACGCAACAAAGATAAAACGCTCTACTGTCGACATTCAGAAACTGATTGGGCCCTGACTATGCACCTGGAGTTTAAAAGGTCCACCAATCATCACGATCGAGACAATTAATGAATTGTAGTTCAAGGAATCAGGCATGCCATCCACATCGCTGAAATTTTAAAAAGACTCACGAAAGTAACTGTGTCAAGAATGGAGGCTGGCTTTTTAATCAAGAGTAAGGTGAACGTAAAAAATACAAGTCTCGCAATTATCCACAGCAAAATGCATTAACAAAAAATGCTGATTATGATCAACCATTATCGTAATCAGACAATCATATAATTTATCCCATGCAAACTAAAAAATTCACCGGTTTTATTTGTTTGTCTGAACAAAGTGGAACATTTTTCACGTTTTGGCTTGTTTGGTTATTAAACACTTTGTTCAACCCCATTCAAGCTCACTTAAGAAAAGTCTTCCTGGAGATTAAATTACAACTAATGGGCAACCCATCGAACTGTCCTCATGATTTCCGTTATTTCTCCTGCAATTACGACCACAGTATGGTCAACGAATAAAGTTTCGCTGGTTTCATTGAAGTATGTCCATGAATTTTCACATACGCTGCTACGAAGAGACGAATGTTGTATGTTGTACTATCTACATGTCGCGCACGCTTTGCAGCTGACTGTACTTAGCGCACGACTGAACATACGCCTGTAAATTTATTGAACTATACTATATATATATCTATATATATATAAACTATAACTATACCGACAGTTAGGTAATCTACCACAAATATGGTATGTTTGGAAAACTTTCTTGGCTAATTATTATTATGTACATCAAAATGCAAATCCCACCTGTACTGCGTTAATCCCGGTAAATACTGCGATAGTATAACATGTTCTGCTTTTTAGCCGACAAATACTTGCGAAATATTCTTCATGCTTTTAAGGATGTAAAATCTATGTGGAGAAAGTAAAACCGAACTGTTAATCAGTCTTCAGTATTATAAATTTTGTCAGTAAAAGGACTTCAGTATCAACCTACGGTCTGGAATGTGCAGCACGAAAATAAATTTAACAGAAATTTTGTAGAATCATTATCAACCAGAGTTGCCCAGGAAGGTAACCTGAGGGTGTTTCCTTTCATTGCTTGATAACTTAAACCAAGGCTTCAAAGGCAAGATGAATGACGGCAAACAAATTATGCAACCTACCCGATTAAGGATTTGTATTCGCAAACATTTGTCTTCTGCCTATGATTAGTAGATTTCGGTACACCAGAACTAAGTCCCAAGCTACAAATAATAACACAAGCACCAAATGTGTCACATTAATCCACTTTAGTACCAAGTGTCAATCGAACTCACCAGCCATTTACATTATCGGACATCTGCTTAAAACCCCGCAAAGAATCTATGAAAAACCGTCAGAAAACAGAAAAGTTTGCAGGGATGAAATCAATAAAATTAGATGTACTGCTCGCGAATAACTTAACATATCGGTAAAAAACATCATTTGTTCTGATCATATGTATCTTTTCCTTTGTATCCGCTGACATAACCGGCGGCCGCATTTTGATCCATTAGATATTCTCGACCTTCGATTCCCTTTCCTTTTCCGGTTTCCAGATCAAACCTTTCTTTATGGGCACCAGTGTAGCCTTTCACATCGGTAAGACGAGCAGTGGCGGCATCGCTGCTAACTTTGGTGGCGCCATGAGCTTTCGGGTTTCCCTGCATTATTTTTTCTTTAATTTCGGCTACAGCCTGTTCAACTGAAATGTTTTTCGACTTCGCATATGCTTCACCGAGTGCACCTTCGATGAATCTAATAAAACTGTTGAAATCCACATCCAGTTTCTGGTTTCCCACATGTTTCCGGAAAGCGATATCAACAGAATTAGCGTTCAGATTCCTATTATATATCTGGCAATCTGTGCAGATCTTCTTTAATGTTTTGTCAGTACAGGTTCTTGATCCTTTCTTAGCAGCGTCGCAAAAAGCAAGAAATATTTCCTCCATTCCCAAATGGTGATAGGGTAACCCAGGAGAGCACGACCAGGAGAGGGTCGGACACGGTAACTAATGTGTAAATTTGAAACGCCTCCAGTCAATCAATAAATTGTGACAGCTTGTTTCATGAATGATATAGAAAAACAAACAGGTCTTACACCTATACCATGTAGGCGAACGTCTTGAGATTTTCCGAAGACTTCAAAGTGAAACGTGGTTCTTAGAATGAATCGAAATGGTTTGTTCAATATTTCCCGTAGAAAGCTTGTTAAGAAAGCCAGTGGTTTGAAAAGGCCACACCACCACGCCTTGGAGGCACAATGCATTTTTCCGCAAAATCCTTATGAACAAAAGAAACATTTTCGTCGAAATATTGCATTGCTGCATACGTGATCGGTTCGAAAAGCGTCATCAGCTGCTGTCATTTTTGCGATTTGCTTTGACTAATCCCCATTCGAAATATAAAGCGCACATTCCACTTTGAAGGCACTCAGTATTCGCACAATTGCATTTAATTTTCGTAGGCTATGATGCGTCTCTGATGGGCTAAAGCGATCGGGCAATTGACTTCAGGGTACCGGTCCAAACTTTCGAACCCCGTCTAGGCATCTCGATGTCTCAGCGATGCTGTTAGATTATTCCACCAGACATTTCCGCTAGAGATGTGGTTGCTTCAGTAGAAAATGGAACTTGGTGAGCTGCAGAACTATGAAACTAGAGTAGGATGGTCTTCGGTTTGGGCACATACGCAAGAAAATGGCGCAACAGTCTTTAATCCAATCCCAAAACGTTACGTAGCTAAGAGCATTATGCGGCTAATGGACCCCGACATCTAACTTGCTGTACTATGGCTTTGGAAATGCCTTCACAAGCGTTTGTTGCGAAATTGGGGGCTGTATGCTATCCATACTTCGCGGTATTTGAGGAAGCCTTAAATAAATACGTGAAGGTTAACTATGTGGCATTTGTACATTCATCCAGTAATCGAAGCACCAACGCTGCTTTGCGTTACGAATAGATGTACTACAAATGCAGCAGACCAGCACCAACGAAAATTCATGGAAACCGAAGAAAGTAGTAGGCTGAGCGTATCTGCTAAACACAGTAGGCGAAGCAACGGCTGTCCAGTGCGGTTTTGTCTACAGAGTCAAATAAACCACCTGACAGTCACCTCTTTTCTTGAACACAAACAACGGTTGTCAAAATTTTGCACCATCGGCTTCTGGTTAATCGACGGCTAACTGAAATTTGCCGTCGTGTGAGGTGCGACAGTTTGTGACTGGTAAGTTTGGCAACATCTTTACCACTCAGGATACAAACAGCTACTGCCGGAAGTGTCGACCAGCTCAGTCGAGTATGTAGCGGACTTAGGACCTTATGAGCGTGTTTGATCAAATAAAAATTAAACAAATACAAAATAACCAAACCACACTAAGAAAAGAATAAACAACCGCTAAGGACTAACGAATGTGTGGATCCAATAGACCACCACACCAATTACAACGAGGTAACCGGCTGTGAAGGAAATATCCACTTGTAGAAGTTTTCCAATGATGATTCACGTGGGAGTGGTAGATTCCACGATAGGAAAGTTAGTCTCAGCTAAAAAGATGTCACAGGGAGTCAATGTGACGTTTAACAGTTCTCACAAACACAGAGATCTAGTCCCACTGCTTCACCAGTCAGCAAACAGTTCGATGGAGCATAAATCTACTGATCCAGCAGGAAGTCAGAAAGTCGCGCGGAAAAACTTGTGCATTGGTGCCATTTTTCCATTGATGTAATTGTTGGTGCAACAAAGCAAACGCCTTGAAAAATGTGTACGACAGTTACACAATGTAGTTTAAGCTCAGGAAAAATGGCGAATAAACGTAACAACGGATTACATACACTGCAAGTAGGCGCCGCATAGTTGGGTTTTACTGCGGCAGACATTATGCTTTGGGCGCTGGCGACGTTTTGGGAAAACGGACACGTGCTTGTGCTGCAGTCAGAGGAAGGTCACAGAAACTACATACGCTTCTCCAGATAACAGCGACTAACGCCGTTCCCGAATGCAGTAAATTTTGATCAAGCACACACAACAATCAGTTTCATGTAAGTTCTTTTAGAACACCAACGTCCGGCTCGCAAATGCAATCTCTAAACCCTTCCGGTAGTGGATGGCATGGTTATCGGACGTCCGGTTATGTTCACCCCTGAAGAAAAGCGAACAGTTTACGTCTGCACGTGTAAAACTATGCCGGCTTTGGTACACCGGTTAAGAAACCGCTAATTCCTGACGGTTACCAAAGTTTACACTGACTCATTTTTACAAGATAGCGAAACCACGTGTTTAATTAAACAACCTGATGACAATGCCGAAGAATGGTTTACGTTCACGTCAAGATCAACAAGGTTGGTACGGGCGCAAAACCGAAGAAACAAAAAGGGGGAATTTCATTGTACAACATAAGATATAGAAGGAAGGAATGCACATCGCCTCAAAAGCCAGCATAGCTTCCCGTAACCTACCAACTCAATCCGCTGCATGCAAGAATGAGATCATCGAGATGGTGCAGTTTCTTTAGCCATAAACGCCTCCATCAATCTGCGGCATGTGCCTAGGGTGGGTGAGCAAACAGCTGCCTTCTGCTCCTTCCAGGTAGTCATGATTTACACCGCGCCTAACCGTATACGATAGTCTTTACTAAAACTTCTCGAATATGGCCATTACTTCAAAGCTCGGCCTCCACTATGATGTCTTAAATCGTTGTCGTGACTTCCACGGTTGGGGCAACCACGACCTCTGCCACTGGAACCCCTGTCCTTTGAGGGAAAAAGTTCAATGCCTCCTCCAAGTTTGAGTCAAAATCCACTGTCCTGATTTCCAAGTTTCAGTTACCCTTTTCTCACAAACCTCCTCTTAGTATCTCCCCTTCACCGTCATACCTCAGCCTTTCATCTGACCCAACGCGCTTATCAAATAAATCTTCATCTTCCTTATGCTCACTGGCAGATTTTTTCCTCCTATACAGCACCTTTAGATTTTCATGGTCATACTCCCGCATGTTGCCGTTATTTTCATTTTGTAACGCGGTGGATGCAATAGCTGAATTTGACTTTAAGGGCAACCCCAGGAAGGTGTCTTTAAAAGTACTGATCGCGACGCCCTTTGCCCAGGAGATTGTATGAAGCTGGTAGGCAACCTCAAGCCAACAGTGAAGGTAACATTTCGATGGCTACGGATTTATGAATGCCTTGCTGGAAGAGCAAAAAGGACGCCAGAAGAGCGAGGTCATGAGCTGTCTCATCCAACTGAAATTGTAGTCTTATCATCAATAGACTGCCATTCCTCACCGGGAAATAAATTATTCGTGTTATCCTCGGTGGATAGCGTCGTTACCGCTATGCGTTCTAGCTGCTCCACAGGGCATGCATGCGCCCATTACGGCCTTCAACTCTGGGAGTATCCGACGTAGATTTGGTATCAACAGACGTTTGTGAGGCTTTGCGTGTTTAGATGCAGTTGACTTCTTGGCACAAAAAACACGTTTCAGTATAATGTACAATAAACTCAATAGGTATGATGAATCGAGGTATTTTCCGCGCCTCAAGTCTTTGTATGTCACACTACCAAAATATTTACAAACCTTTCTTGGCTGCATCAAAGCACTCATCCCAGCCACACTTCATCTCACGCAGACCCAGTAATCGTTTGTGTCAAAGTAGAAGCATGGACACGAATCCGATGGGGCCGTAAAGTGAAGCGATGCAAGAAAAACATACCAAATTTGGCCGCTATGATATCTGTCACATCGACCTTGTACAGGAAGCATCCAGTTTTGACAGACCAGCACTGCAAATTCAAATAGTGTAGAGGTTGTTAGTGCTTTCCTCTTTTTTGAATGATTGTCAGAAGGTGAATAACACTAATAATAAACAGTTATATATTGTGGCTACCAGAGACGCTATTTCAAAAAGGAAAGAGACATATTGAGTTCTTCGTTTGATAAGCCGTAGTAGATGCAGCCTAGGTTTGTACGACGCAGCTGAAATGAATGCAGGCCTTGACCGAGCGTGTTGAAATCTGGCCTGCTCTTTGTCGTTTAATCCGAAACGATATTGCTCCCAGGCTTTTCCTGCACAGTAACTCGTGCGTGTTCAAGGCGCTGTGTGCACTGGCGATCGTCGGCATCCTGCTGTCGTTGTTCCCCATATCTATAAGTTCACGTTGTGTGTGAAGATGCGCTTACATTGTTTGTCCTAGGAGAAGATTCCAATAACCTCGGATGGTCGTGGAACGAATGTTCATGACAATAAAAAATGGAGTGAAACAGTGGGTGTGCATGCATTAAACAAATTATGTGAGTGGTTGAAGGTAAACATTGATGTGATGGTAACCGAACTGTGAAATCGGTTGAAGGTTAAGTTGACGGTCAACCATCTCTGGTAACCAAATTCTGGTAAAGTGGTTGGAGATGGACGTTGATGGGATGGTAACCAACGAGGTCAACCAGCTCGGAAGCTCGCTTGCTACTACGTTGATACTGAAAACTTTTGGATCGTTGCTTCCCCACTTATGCAAACGAGATCCGCTTAGACTCAACATCGAGCCGAATTCATAAACTGGCTTCTTGGCTATATCAACGAATTCCATTGATGCGAGGCAATCATCTACGTAAGGGTTCCCCCTTACTACATAAACTGTCCTTCCCTTGGAGGCATTTCCGTTGTCATCAGCAACCGTTCTTGGAGTAAAAGCCGAGCATAACGAGTAAAAGGCTGCTCCAGATAGATGAAACGTATGGTGATAGACGTCAGGGTTCCAGCAAGCTTCCAGCCCGAAGAAAGCCTGTTCCAAGGCCGTCAGATGCGGGGGGTTTCCAGGAACGAAGACTGCTCAATAATCCAATGGGCTTCTGGGATATCTGTTCCTATCACAAGCAAAACGTCATTTCAGGAATTTTTGCGGTCCAAAAATTCACAATGTGCTTGCATTTGCTCAGCAACCCATCGTCCGGAATCATAGTCTTGATGAGGGAAATTGACCCGATAGTGTAGACAAAGTCGACGTCCATGACATACCCTTCAAGCAGATTGTGTGGCAAGGCTGATTTTCATGACCTTGATTTCGGGGCTGTTTACCAATGATAATTTTACGCGCGTCGTTTCTCTTGCTATCCCAGGCCGTTTGTTGCGTCGGACATTTGCAGGTTAGCGTCGAAACCCTATCCCAACAGAGAATGTGTTATTACAGTCCTCGTTGGCCTAAGCAGCCGGCCTTCTACGAGACCAAAGTGGCTCCGGAATCCCAAACTACCTCTGAGTTGACATTGGCACCTTCGTGGCCTTGTCCACCATCAGCCTGTGCCGTGAAGCAGACGGTGATGACGTTGGTTTCAATTCGTGACGTGATTGCATGTTGTAACGAGAACTCAGCTATACAAAGTTGCCCAATTTAACGTCTAACGACGGTCCTGAATGCTTACAACCCTACTTACTTTATCTCCCTTGGGCAACTTATCATAAGTGCTAGGCTCATGAATGTGCGCACCGAAGTTCATGAGGCCTTAATTATGCGTGATAGCCTAATCCAACGGCCAACAAAGGTCCCTCCTCATCATAATCGTGTGTTATCGCTCTGCAATGCCAGCGCTTGAAAAGTATAAAACAGACTTTGCCGAAATCGTTCTATTTATTTAACGGCTTTATGAGACCATAAAAGGTTGTTGCTCAATTTGCCTTTCCATTACCCAGCTTCCTTCGACGATGAAGCTGAAATGAAAGTGTAAACTCAAGTTATTCACGTTTATATCCCTGGTAATGGGACATGTTACGGTTACAAATGCAAACGTACTTCTCGCTCAGTTAGCCCTACCATAGATAATGAAGCACCCATGTAAACACCGATGTTGGACCCAGAAAAGCTAAGCCGGGAAATAGTCATAGGATCGGGTGACATAACGCAATTTCTAGAATCCAAGGGCCCCGTGGGTTTTCGAAAGTGTACCAACAGATGTACCGACAGCGACTATCTAGTGAGCTTACGGTTATTTGGTGCCAAATCTGTTCCTTCAGAGCATTAGAAACTAGGTTAACTCCACTTCTGCTTCAAGACACTCACTCGACTTCGTCATAACCTGAAGCTATCCCACGTTCATCAGCATCGCAACTATCATAAACTAGGGGATCTATTTCTAGAGACTGCTTGTTTGCTTCCTTTTTTGTGTTCGTAAATAACTCTTTGGTGATATTCGGAGTCTGACTATAGCTAATAGAAGCTTCCACGTCTTAAAGACATGACAAGTTGAAGTCCACTCACCCTTTTGAGCTACTCCGAGGATCTTCTCATATGTAGTCTGGGTTTAGACCTCGTCCAACTCATCACCTATGAGAAAGATTTACCACCGATTTTCACCTCCGCAATCGTGCTGGAACTATCCAAAAACATAACCAACCAAATCCGCCATCCCGGATACAAAATATCTGCGGTGATGATGGCGATTTGACTGGGGTATGCAAGGTTTCATATATCTCATTGCCTCAAGTAAATAATAATGTTTATTCCCAACCTGTAGTTGGCATGCCTTCAGGCATAATCATAATGCTACAGCCAAAATAAGAGCATGATTGTTGGGGTTTGTGCGCAGTGGAAATTTTGTGGAAAAGGGACGGTGACATAAGCAGTGGGCACTATCCGAAGGAGACGTGGTCACGCCTGAGGCGGCATGAGTAAGTAACCAATATTACAAGGGCTCCTCCTTTATTATAGACGACATATCAGATGAGAAAATATACGATCGTTAGGGTTCGAAATTACTGGGCGAAAACAATACGTAGAAGAGCAGAACGAGAGGCTTTCGCCTGGCATGCGATAAAAACTTCAAACTGCAGAAAATTTAGAACCAGAAAAGTGGATCTGGGGGGGCGGCAGGACTGGTATGGTCAATTTGGATTTGACCAGAGTCACTATGGCTTCGTGGCCTTGGGCTGTTGTGCGTATGACTGGGGTTACGAAAAAGCATAAGTGGAGATGTTACAGTGGGGGTTATGCAATACGTATAAATGGAGGTAAAAAACTTAGATTTCCGGTGTGCAGTGAATAGACGCACTAATGTTGCTACTGGAGCGGAGCCAGTTCAAAAGTTCCTGGAGAAAAGGAGTTTACGGGAATGCACAACGGGGAACGCGAACTTTATGGAAAATGACTGACTTCGTAAGAGGCACATATTAGAAGTCACGGAGGTGTTTATATCTAATGGAAGGTTTAGTAGGTTGCAATGAATGCCTCCCAGAAGTGGCTGGAGCCGGATGAATACTTTGATTGTGGTTGCAGGTAAGGGAACAAGTGTGCGAGATGGCACAGCTGAAGTACGATGTGAACGGTCGCTATGCTATCAAACTGTGTATGGTAGTGCCGTGTCATCAGTTCACTGAGATACTTCAGCTTCTGTACACCCCGAGACGGACGTCGTTATTGGAGTAGTTTGGTCAGGATGTACAGTTCTATGGGAAGCGAGATGTGGGTTTTCTATGGGATTCCGCAGGTTGGGTGAAACCAATGTAATGTCACAGTTAGCATTTGTGTCTTTTTCCGGTCAGGGATCCCTTCAGGTGTAATGCACAGGTCGCGTGGAGTGAATAACAGCCAAATAGGTCGTTCGCAGCACGTATTACGGCAGGTCAAAGCTTTGGAAAAGGTGAAATGAGGTGAGGTCACTAAGGCCTAAAGAAGTATAGGAGTCATCAGACAGGACACAGTCCTTTACTAGGCAAAAAACTGAACGTTTGTCACAGCGAGGGTGGTGACAACAAGTGGTTTAAAGGAGCGGAACAAAGATGGATCTACACTCAGTAGTCTAGTCATCCAGGTCAAGGTAAGATTTCCAATATAGGCTATGATAACATAAGAGATAGAGGACAGTTCAAAGTAACTAGGCAGAGAGGCGGCGTAGTAAGGCAAATCAAACAGGTAAGGAATTTAGGTAATGGAACTTCTGAGATGGTGGAGGTTATTATTAAGCTTGACAATACTAGGACAACCTAAAACGGAGGGTAAATGTAAGGTTAATGATCATCAGTTCCCGATGCATCGGTATCATTTTTTATTTTAAGCGTGTGTGTTTAAGTGGAGCATGAAGAAGAAGGCTTTCGATGCTAGCCTTGGACGCCGGCAGTGGATGGTTTGGAGTCTCCTGGACTACATATTTTGTGTTCACACCTGAGAGCTGCAGGTTTTTTTGTTTGATTGGCGAGGTGAATTTTGGTGCGGTGTAGCCTCTGTTCTGACTAAGGCAGCTACAGTTATGTTCGTCAATGAAGGCAATGGGCAGCGCAGAGCAGCTTCAGGCCACCCCAGATATATTGATTTTTCGCAGACGAACAGTTGGTTTCTATCCGTAGTTTACGGCCTTGCCAGGTACATAACCCAACCAGGAGAGTCCGACACCATCAGCAACAAACAGAAAACAGCAGCGCTCTTATTTAGTTTTCTGAATTTGGAGGCCAGGCTCAGAACGACCGGCGATGGATGATGCATTCGTGCTACTGGAGGGAGGCGGCAGGTATACGAACTTACCATGGTGCAACGAAAGAGGGCGACCCCTTCCGCAGGACGTACCGACCACCACACGAGGTTTTCATTCTTCGTGGATGCTACTGGATCTGAAAGGTGGAAAACCCTTCAAGCAGTCATAAATGCGGCTTGTGCATCAATAAAACATTTTAGTTCCAGTGTTTTCCGGTCAGGGGAAAGCAAAATAGTGAAAACAGCCCAGGCAGTTCGAACAAGCGGACAGAAACTAGACGCCAGTAAGGGTAAATGGTGGTGAAGAAAAGTGAAATGATAAATATCATTTAGACAATGGGGATAGACTGATATCCAGAGCGGGTGCGCTACGGATAAACGGCAACTGTGCGTTGGTGTGAGCTACCAGATCAAGCAGAAGCGTGCCGTAATGTCGTGTGTTTGAATGTTTAGTGAGCTGTAGAGCAGTTCTTCAGATTGATTCACTTGATATTTAGGCATGTAATGCGTTCTAGTAATGAAGCGAAAGAGCTGACTTTGGCTTAGGTTTTTCCAGTTAGATTTAGACGGAAAGTACCAGTCACTCGACGGAGTTAAGAGAGTAATCCCAGGTAGGGACTTGACTAGAACGAGGTATAAATTGTCCGAAAAAAGATACACAGGCCTGCAACACAACACATTTAGATCTATTGAGCGTTTAATTCCTACAATAACACTAAGCAAGTCAATTCACGGATTCACGGATTGATACACAGGATCGAGGCTTTTGCCCAAGTTTCCCGGGTCGGTTTTGTTCTTGTCGGTCAGTGGCTGTCGTTCACCTGAAAG